CGCTATCCCTGCTGTATTTGTATACCCTGCCATCAGCCACAATAAAAGGCTCGCTTTTGTTTAAAGTTCACTCCTGTCTGCTCACCTGTGTTCGCACCTGGGTCCACCATACACACCACCGCACGGTCTGTCACAGCGGACCGTGACATTTATTTCATTAAATTCCTTACTTTAGGAGGCCAGTTTCCGAAATGTATCTAAATGCAGTTTGTACAATAACATCTTTACATCCTGGTGCCAGTTGGCCTCTGTTCATGAATAGAAGAATTTGCATTTGCAATAAATGTGCCCCATTTAAACACATAATGAGTTTTACAAATAAATCTAAACCTAAATCTTCTCTAAGAGATATGATTTATTGTGCAAATAATTTATTTCTGGTATTTCACTGTTTTATTCGTCATACACTGTCATCAATACCCATGTGAACACTCATAGCTAGAACTGGAAACCGTTGGTTGAGTAATTGGCCTGATAACTGCCTTCGTGTGACCTGTTAGTCTGACTAATATTTCCTGAATTGATGATTTTCATTTCAGGTTTCTCAGCGTTGTCTTTACTTATACTTCTTTTTATTTTGCACAAAAATATTTGACCTTTAGTTGTTGGACACTGGACTGAGCACATACAGATTTGTACACAGACACACACAGAGACAACAACTGTTGTGTGTGTGAGTCTGATGTTGTAACTGTGATGCTTACAGGGAAATAGTTTAAAGTGTCATTTCAAGGCTAGTCATAAATCTTCAGTAAGTAACAACCCACCAGTCTGTGCAGTGAGGTAGCAGTGACAATCAGAACACCTGAGCCTGAACAGGTAGTACTTGTTGTTTCTGTGAAAAAGCTCCAAGCCAGTAGGACTCTGTCTTAACTTGCTTTGGTTGTATGTTATATTTTTGAAAAATCTGGACTGCTGTTTTAAATTACATAAAGTACAGTCTTCCATGGAAAATTGAACAGTTGTATATGTGTGTGTTTGGAAATCTGTGGTTTGACTATATAAAAACTTAAGCTAACATGAATTTCAAATGATAATGATGTTTATATGATGAATGATTTATATGATTGTCTTTGCTCTGTTTGAGGAACTGGGAACTGCCTCCATCAAAACTTTTGGTGGATGAGTGTAATAACGTTTCTGGCCACACTCTTTACCTTCTCATCTAAAATTGGATGCTGGCCTTAAAGAAAGAAGGAAAACAAGTTGGAATGTTGGAATATAATTAAGGACATTTAGACATCTAATGTATTTGGATATGAAAAATGAGGTACTTTTACTGTTTTCCTTGCAGACTTGCAGTGAACTCCTGGTCAGTTACTAGGATCATACTGCAAAATTCACCTGCTTCTAGGACGATTTTCTTGAACAAAATCATCATTTCTGTGACTTCTCCTTTCTTGCTAACCCTGAAGTAGCTGTGACACATTTAATTTCTTCATTATTTCAGTGGAAATACATTTCAAAAATCAATGATCTCTGCAAATTTATAGAGGAAACGTCACATTCTGATTAAACGTTCATTTATGGCCACATTTGGTGCTGATAAAAGGACCTGCCTCTTATCAGTGGACTGTCCTTATCACATCTCCTTATATAAGCAGCACCATTCTCTTCTTTCATTTTTATTCTTTCTCTTCTTCTGAAACATAGAGCGTGTTTCTCCTTAAAACTGTTGTGCTACAGTACCACAGAAAGAAAACTTCCAGGTACAGAAAAAAATGCTTGGTGTTTTTAAGTTGTATTTGGTTGTAATAAGATCAGTGGAGAACAGCTTTCTATTTTTTCACCAGCTACAGTTTGTCAATTTGCTTAGTCTTGACTTGTAACACACTAGTAATAGTTTAAATGTTATGTTTACTGTGTGTTTTTATTCCATCAACTCAACTTGGCATAGTTTTTCTTGGCAAGAAAACCTATTAAACCTGATGTGTTAACAACTTCCTCTTTCTGCATCCTAACCTCCATATTCTTCATCAGTCTACAGAGTGTAAATCCTCTACACTATGTCATCTAACCAATCATTCAAAAGCCAACATGAAGAGGCCTACGCCTCCCTGATGAGAGGCCTGAAGGAGCTGGACCTACAGGGACCCTGTGTTCCCAGTGACCTGGTCCTGATTGGAGACCATGCCTTTCCTTTAGCAATGAACAGCCGAGGTCAGGTGCTGATTGCTGCCTCTCTGTACGGCAGTGGAAGGATTGTGGTCCTGGGTCATGAGGGCTACTTGACAGCCTTTCCTGCTCTAGTAGAAAATGCTGTGACCTGGCTGAGAGGTGATGGATCTGATAACCTCTCAGTAGGGGTGCAGAGAAATGTCAGTGCTGTTGCTAATAACCTCCAAAAACCCAGCTTCCAAGTAGAAGTTGTGGGAGCCTTCAGTGACAGACTGGAAGTTGGTGTTTATGTGACCGATGCCTACAGCCTGGGCTCAGACCCAACAGAGCTGGTGGCGTTTCTGAAAGCTGGAGGAGGGGTGCTGATAGCTGGGCAGGCGTGGAGTTGGGCTGCAAATCACCCCAAAGAGAACACACTGCATCAGTTTGATGGGAATAAAGTGTCAGGAGTGGCAGGAATCTACTTCACTGAGCGTTATGGTGAGGCGGAGAACCTGCCTGTCTACCCTCAGATCCCGTCCTCCTGGAAGTCGTTAACGTGAGTATATGCTATACAGTGGTCCCTTGTTTATCACCGGAGTTACGTTCTAAAAATAACCATGCGATAGGTGAAATCTACGAAGTAGCCAACTTTAGTTTTTACAATTATTATAGTTTTAAGGCTGTAAAACCCCTCACTACACACTTTATACATTTTTCTTAGACAGGCATGAACATTTTCACACTTTTCTCTCTTATTTCAGCACTCAAATTCAAACCTTCGTAGGAAAATAAATCTCGTATCATAGAATGAAACTAAAGATCAAACCCTGTTTTCAGGTCCAGAACATGGGAATAGAGCATCTGCCAGAGAATTCAAGATTAATAAATCAATGGTACAGAAGTGGAGGAAGCAAGAAGACTGAGTTCAGAAAAGTTTGACTTATCTGACTGTTTTGTTTCGCTTAATGCGCCTTATAATCAAATTAAATAAAATTAAAATACAGTAACTTCTATCTTCCTTTAGCATGTCCAGAAGTCCAACATTTTATGCTATTGTTAGCATCTTCCTCAGGCTTTTGGGTGCTACCGCAGGTGCCTTTGATGGTGCAAAATGTTTCATTGACATTGCACTTCAGCACTTCAGCGTCACACTGCTAACAATCAAACACAAGCTGAATGCATTCTGTACTGTACAGGAGACACTGCACGAGATTGATTGACAATGGTCTACAGCCAATCAGGACGCAGAACACAATGTGCTGTAAAAAGAAGAAAATTTTTTAAAAAGCAAATCCACGAAACAGCGAGGCCGCGAAAGGTGAACCACGTTACAGTGAGGGTCCACTGTAGTCCTGTTTTACTGCACGTTTCCAAAAGTTCCACTTTCCATATAATAACTTTCACTTTATTTTTAAAGCACTTTAAAACAACATAACAGCTGACCAAAGTGCAAACTTTTAATGCAAAAATATTTTTTCTTTGTTATTTGAAACAGTATTACTAAAGTGATTTTTTTATGCTAATTTACATATAATAAATCATTTTACAAGAACATATTTGTAAAATTTAAAATAGTCATTTTACAACATGACTATATATTTACAGGGTATTGATAGTAAAAACACATTAAGATAATACAATTTACACTCAAAATTCATAGTGACAAACAGGCATTTTGTTTAAAACAACACAATTTTAGTAAAAAGAAATTCATCCAGTTATTCTGAATTTACTTCTGTACACTGTATCTCTAATTTTTATTTCTCTTTCATATTCCCATTCCACCTTTCAATTATAGGACAGGAAAGGACTTCAAGGATGACTTAGAGTTCTTACTCCAAGGGGTTTCAGAGTTCGACCTACCATCTGATTGTGTATTTTCTGAGGTTCTAGTCCACGGACCGCTAGCATTTCCCATCGGAACTACAGAAGATGGACGTCCATTCCTGGCAGGAGCCTACTATGGGCGAGGACGGGTCATTGTGGTTACACATGAAGCATATCTAGCAGTCGAGGTAGAGTACTAAAATTTAATTTTTTAAAAGTTAAATCCCAGATTTCTGTGTGGAGTTTGCATTTTCTTACAGTGTTTGTGTGAGTTCTTTCTGGGTATTCTGGGTTCCTCCCACGGTCCACAGTTAGTGGAGCCAGGTTAATTGTAAAATTGAAATTGCCCATAGGTGTGAATGTGTGTGTGAATCTTGCGAATGGTTGTCTCTCTCTTTGTTTTAGCCCTCTGACAGACTAGTGATCTGTCCTTTGCTTCTTGCCCTATGGTAGCTGGGATAGGGTGAAATGTGGGCTATTCTGACAAATATTTTATATATCACAAGTACACATGACTGTCTGTCTTCCTGCTTTCCTTCTTTTATTTTAGAGCATGGCTCCATTTTGGAGAAATGCCATTCACTGGTTGGATGAAGGGCGCAGAGGGGTTGTTGGTGTCATGGTGGATCCTGCACTCAAGGTTCTCAGCAAGTCAGGGCTGAAGTGCGAGAAGACAAACTTCAGGAAAGACCTCAGTGTGTTTGTGTGTACAGCCTATATCACTGAGCATTTGGAGGAAATCCAAAACTTTGTGGCAGAGGGAGGAGGCCTGCTGATTGGAGGACATGCCTGGTGGTGGGCGCAGACACATGCTGGGCAAAATCCACTTACAGATTTCTCAGGTATCAAAAAATGCACAACAAGGGTTTCACAATACACATAGCAGAAATACTGGTAGTGTTCTTATTTTTCACC